ATATATTTCATATACTTATGTTATAACGTATTTCATCCTTATATGATACGTATTAAGTTATAAAATGTGTTATTTTACGAGTTACGACTTCATATTAAAGAGAAGATTGCTTTCTTGAGTTTCGATCCATATAGGTCTGAGTTCAGAGGTGTTCAGAAACAACTAAAACACATTTATAAAATAAAATATGAACTAAAATATTAAATACATATATATATATTATTATATATAGTATTTATTTAACATTTCCTAATTAACGGGAATGTGTGATATTTAAATGTGTTTATTAGTATATAATAATAGGGATGTCGTTAATCAAATATAGCCATTACTACAACAAGTCTGTGCGGAGTTATAACTTTAGAAGTATTATCCGCTATAAGTGTGATCACGCTCACCGCTAGCCACAGCAGCCCCACCTAGACTTTAACATTTCATTCCATAAAGCATTTTAATGGAAAATCGATGATATAATTCAATTACTGGCAAGGGAGCCACAAATCCGCTTCTTTTCCTGTAAAGACGAAACAATGTCGCTTTCTTGTTGGACGATTGGAAAAAAAATATAAATGAACCACAATCATATTTTCATCGACTCATTTGCTAAATAGGTTAAGACCTGTTTGCACTACAGAGCTAAGTCTGAAACGGGATGAAACATTACGGTCGTGTAGAAAACGTTTAACACGTGAAAAGTAACGAAACATTTTTTTATATTACACTCCCACATCACTCCGTTGAATCCGTATGCAACAATATTGGATTATATTTTCATTTTAAAAAGCTAAAAGGAAAAAAAACAGCATCGGTTTCTAATAAAGGCTATATGTATACAACAGGAGCGTCCGAAAACATCTAAAACTCAATAGAACGTTTGAGATGCTTTTAATTTCACATGTTCATAGCAGTGGTGGTGTTTGTTGAGCACAATTGATTTGTTTTGCGGCGCGGTTTTACAAAGATTAAAGACGCCATTGTATGTACGGCGGGTACTATGCAAATCCATTAATAAATTATAACATTTAAAGCATATAACTTTGATAGAGCAAAAGTTTTCGACTTCCCTGAATCCAAATCGAGCCACCAAACTCCTTCTTGACTAAACATCTGTGATAGTGTGCGTGCACCCACACACACGTCTACCTGCTAGTGTATAAATATAGACTTATCGACGTAATATTTGCAACAATAACAATAAGTTCTCGAAAGCCTGCCAATATTTGATAAATGCAAAGAAAAATTGAATGAACAACCCAGATTTACCTTAAAAATCGTACAACAATAAACACACTAGATGGATGTGCTGTTGCATGCACGGGATTTTAATTTGTATTACTATAACAGAGGATGTATATTCGCTTGTGTATGTTTAACAGATGATAACGACGGTCGCTGTTCGAATGTTAATATCGCGACCACGGTACGCTTCAACGGGACATCGAGCAGCACAAGGAGCTACGAAGATGAATCATATATATTATGAAACGCTAATTAAGTGTCTATTAAAATTAACACTAATAAAAAACATATATTTAAAAAAAAATCAATATTTTCATGAGAAAATAATATGTTTAGTATAACAAAAACATTTTTATAAGAGGTATAGTCCTTTGTTAGGGTCGCGAAGGGTTTAATCTCGTCACTAAAGCACTAACTAGTAAGGTAATTACCAACCAAGTATACCTACTACACACAATGAGCTTACAGAACACTAAATGGGTATCGTTAAATGTTACATTGGAAGTAAGATCACAGACTTTCCTGATACTATTAATTTAATGTATTTTCTAAAACATATCTTATGAATGGAACTTTTTATTGTTGAACCTTTACTTAAACTAAATTTTAGATAAAAAAAATTACTCATACAAAACTAGTCGAATAAATTTATTTGCTAGGATTTAAGTCGTATAACTGGAATATATGTATATATAGTAAATTAAACTTGTTGTATGTTTTTATACATTAATTGCCGCATCCAAGTCTCATACATAACGCAATCCACGCGCTGACTTTTGTTCTCTTTGTGACGGCTGCACGTTATTATTAAAAACAATAAATCGCTGAGCACCTTCAACAATTGCTTCGTTCTCCACCCTCTCTGTTGTAATCTGTCACTTTCATACTAATAACCTTTATTATAACGAGAAATGTATGTATAAAATGACTCTAATTATAAAATTGCTGCTATTTTAATACAAAAAACGAAATTATTACGTCTACCCTTTGAATTGAAAGCTTAAAGAAATCCCAATGGTTTATTTTTTACGTATAAACATAGCTATATTTTTTGAAGACAAGTAACAAATGTGCACGAGACGTCTGAGACTAAAAATAAAAAAAATTACGACAGAGCCATCTATGTCTCGAGTGTAATAAATATCTTAATGTAACTTTGTTTTTCGGCGACAGATGTCACTATCAAATTAAAAACCCGGTATACGTTTTATTTTTTTTTATCAGATACAAGTGAATTTAACATTGTGATAAATTATTTTCACCATATTTATTAGCATTTCATATACTTATGCATGAAATTTAAAGTCAGTCTAGAAAAGTTTCGCAGTGGGACTTAATTAAAACGTAAATGTATTGCAGGTGAAGGTTCCCATCGGAAACATAATAAATAAGTTATTCAATGATATTCTGACAAACGAGGTTGAATGATTGCGAATGAAAAAAGAAAAAATCCCATAAATGAGCAAGCAAAACCGGGAGACGAGAGCTGTTTATCGATTGTCAAATAATATATTATTTAATTGTATACATACACACAAACATACAACGCGTAACCAATTCGATAATAAAGTGATAGTAAAAAATGTAATTTCATGCATCTCCCGGGGCAATAACTTGTTACGATCGAAGGCTTTATTATAACAATAAAATGGTACATTTTTATTAAAATGTTATGTTTTGTTTTATAATAATATTCAAATTTTATGTACGTCATTGTATTCTTTATAACGGAATAAAATACTATTTTAACAAACTAAAAAATTACGTTCAAGTTCGTACTAACGCAAAATACACTTAACGCCTTTTCTATGTATATACAAGAAATGTATTAAAGTTATGTATAAATGTATGTAACTATATGTGACAGTAGTCTTAAATCTATAAAGTAGTTATCGGTACATCAAGCATTAGACTAACAATCTATGAGGCTCTCCTTGTATTATTAATAATGATGATTATAATTAAGTTAACCCGTAGTTATGGGATACAGTAATTCCTCTTTAGCCGTGGTGTTTATTGTCGGCACAATATCTTACGGTTTCCGTACTTTATGTGATTAAAGCCGGTACAAGACACACTCATTAAGCATTGCTATATGTTAAATTGTTGCATGAAATTTCTCAAGAATTATATTTTAGATTAAAATAATAATTAAACATAATATATATACGTACTTATTTCAGATTATAATCTAAATGAGAAAGAAATTTACGTACACACATATATGTATACGTAATCGATATTTGACATGACTAATATAGACCAATATATGTACAAATAATAATTACGTAGCATTTACGGAATGTTATTAGTGTCTTGATAACATGTAATTGTAAACGCCGTCGTAAAAATTCAATACTATATTCATAGTCTATTACTAAATAAGTAAATATCACTAAACGATTTCAATATAAAAAACTGTGTACATATAAAAGTTTATATCTAAATCACAATCTGTTAATCGTAATGAAATCGCAGCCATAACTAATGAACAGCTAATCAAAGTACGTGAGAGTTAGAGGATAGCGATTGTGAAAATTAATAAGATCAATTGTTAGTTGGAACGATTGACGGAGCCGAAATATCTCATTGCTATGCGAGCGGCGAGGGCCAGAATTAATAATGGCCGTGCGCCGTATTTGCGTTTCATGTAGGCAATCACGAATAATCGTACCACCTAGTGTCGTACGTGAGTAGGATTATGTCATAATAACGAATCTTTGTTCAACATTACATAAGAGAGAAACTTATCACTTAACAAGCATCGATATGATGCAAGTATGACGTCACTACTTTAAAATACTTAAAAAAACAAGGCAAAGATTACAGAGTTCATGTAATGTATACGACGGAGTCGTATTTAATTTTTTGTCTTCAAAAACTTCTTATTAGAAAATAATATGAAATAAAAAAATTAGTATATAATTTAATTATTACGGACGAATTTATAACCTTATGATCTTATATTAGAAACAAACATATAAATGAAAAATAATTCCTTTTAACGATTCATCGGTACATATATTAAAATGATATATTGATTGAGACCGATAAGAAATATAATAAATATGTTTGTATGAATTGTTTGTATGTAATCTGTAACAATTTAAATTTTAAATGATTAAATCAACACCCTCTCAAATAACACGCTAACGTTGTATTGCATGAGAACTAATAAAGCTGTTGCAGCTTACAGATCGATATTATATTTACTTATTTAGAAATTATACTAACTATTGAGAAATTGTAGCCTCTGCAAACTATAGGACACTTTAACGAGCTCAAACCTTCAATACAATATTTATTATCAATCTTTATGAACACTAATATACATTCTTTATACGTACATAATATAAAGGTAAGGTTATTTATTATAGAAGAAGCAACAAATATTTGTTTTAATTTCAGTACCTCTGATTTCATACTTTCAGGTTAAAAAGTTTTTTTTCTCAACCGAGCGATTCATGGTTTCATATTTTTATCACGACTATGTTTGTACTGTTGTAATTAATTTCAAATATATGTATAATTATATTGCTTAATACATTTTTCTCTGAGAATAAGTCTAATGTTCACGCGGACAGTCACTTGGAAAAACTAATTTGTATATACGCCAGTTATTATGAAATTATACTCAATGTGAAACGAAATAAAATTCAAAATTAAATGCTTTTTGTAATTATTATATCGTGTCGATTACGCCCTTGGTAGGAGTAAGGAGTAGTTAATATAAGTATTACGAGATAAAACCACTTTTCACTATGCTACAAAGTTATTCTGTTTGGGTAAATATTTTCATAGCCTTTTCCCGACTTTAATATCGTACATTTACTGTTTGCTGAATTTTTAATTTAAAATGTTGATATATTTGTATATACGACACAGTAAATATGTGGTTTTTAGTCTAAAATGTAACATTTTTTAATGGACATATAATATTTTATTTTTATCTTTATTCAGCTTTTATCCGGGTTTCATTCGACGTACTAATATTTTCTTCTCTAAAGAGTAGACTGCGTGGTTTTCCGGCATATTTATCACAGGCACATCAAATAAGTCTTTCACTAGCGAGTAAATACAACTTCTTTCAGAGCAAAATAAGTTTTAAACTAGATAATTTCAGACGTATTTTTTGTATTAATTCGAGAATGTTGTGTATCGTGTATGATAATCTTAGTTTAAAGTTATGTCTTAATAAAAACTTACCTAAAAAAATAAAAAATTTCTATGATCTTATAGAAAACGTCGACTCGTTTGCTCCACAGCTACGCTGCTCGTCGGCTGCGCTGCCCGTCAGCTACGCTGCTCGTCGACTACGCTGCCAGTCTGCTACGTAGCCCGTCGACTACGCTGCCCGTCGCTTCCGAAGCGCTGCCGCTACGTTGCTCGCCAACTGCTACGCTGTACGCCTCACGAAGTGCTGGTCTCCTACTCGCCGCTGCGACTTCTGCTAATGCTGCTCCGCTATAGATATACTTACCTTCAGAAGACGCGAAAATCTTCAAAAACACCTGTATGAATGTTTCGATTACTTAAAATCTAATGCAATTATTAAATCAATCAAATTCAGTGATATTATTATTAAATGTATTATTTCTAATTCATTTCATATTAAGATATGTAAGGTATTTAATATTTCATAGTTGTTATACATATCGGTTACATCAACGTAATCAATCAGTGTTGATCTTCACATGTCCCAAGCAGTAACTCCCTTATACGGAGAGGTTTCTCTGTGGTCACTTCAAATTGACTGAGGGAGAGGCGGGTCAATTATTCTCCTAATCGAATTTCCTTGTCGAACGCAAAGACGCTAGCCGACTTCAGACCAATTGTCAATCATGTAATACGAAATGGACAAGCTATGGTCGAATAAAAATTTAATAGTATTAAAAATAATAAAAATATATATAGTGTTATTAAAACTATACAATTAATGATTTCAATAAAGCAATATAATAATATTAACTCAATTCTGATAGAGCGCTCCACTAGTGTAAGTAAGCTTGAGGGGATACCTGTGCAGGCTTTCAAATAGATTGCTCCTCATAATCCCATTGTAGAAAATATAGCATGAAATAAAGATAAAATCTATTTTTCATTCTGTATTGAAGCGTCAAAGGAACTATTTATTAAAGTCGTCAAAGTGGATCGGTTTTCATTCGCCGCTAACCACGTTGTATGTATGTATATACAGCTACGTCTTGTATAGGGCATAAAGGGTATAATCTGCATTATGAGGTATGGACCTAGTGTGCCCTACTTAGGGGAGATCCCATCGATAAAGCCGGCCACAATCACTGCATGTTACGGTAGTACAACTAAATCATATTTTCTGTAATGTACCCAAATGTTATATATATTTTAAAAAACATTTTCCCTTCACAAACAAACTGCGCCTCTTAAAACTTCGTCACGTTATATAAAGAAATGGTCGTCAAATATTTCGACGTAACCACAATTCCTATCGTTGAAAAGTCATAAAGAATATTTTTTTTATTAACAAAAATAACATATTAAAAATTTCAGCGCTACAAACACTGGTATGTACTCAAATTGAATACACGAGCTTTGTTGTAAATTCTAGTGCACGGTTTTCGTCAGATTTCCAATGAAATACTAAAAATATATACGAATCGGTACAATTGGGTGAACATTTTTGTGTAAGCAAAATACCTGGAACAGAAATATTTACAGCGATATTCTTTCATATTTCATATTCAGAATTCTTTCTGTTTTAATATAACACATAAATTTGAAATGAAATGCAATAGAAAATAAATTTTACTAAAAATGTTTAACTAACAGAATTATATGGAAAAAGTCATAATATGACAAAAAATTTATTAGGTTTTAATTTTTTTTATACATTCACAGAACTTCTATAAAAACGAAGTACAAATATGTGTCTTTGTTTGAAATTACTTTCGAATTATGCGAAGGATAAACTAATTTTCTTTTGTATATAATAATTTTAATTATTTAAGAGTAATCGAAAAATATATATGTAATTAAAACAGGTATATTTTAAATCAGTACAGCTTTCTCTCAACTGTCTGCGACGTAGAAAATAATTTCCATTGATAGTTTATTACATATCCATCAGTTCACGCAAATATTGATACAATACTGGGAGGAAGAAATATCCAGTGTACTGGGAATTGATTTTATTATTACGTAATACATCTATTTAATAAAAATTCATATATATGCATACCTATTTAAACATGATTTTTTATTTCATAATATATATCGAGTTTAATGTAGGAAGACGAAATACGTTCAGTTTTTTTTTTGTACTAAAGCCTATGCAAAAAGAATGAAAATGTATTAAAGAGCGCAAAGCGTTTGTGAGGAGCATTTCAAAGGTTTTGCTTTACACCTTAGAAGTCTATATATTTATTTGCATAGAAAGTGTGGTTTTACGGAACAAAGTGAATTCCCCGTTCCCGCTGTTAGCTGAAGGGTGGAAATACAAGAGTACTAGTGCCGGTACAATCGTAGAGAAAAGTAACCCGTGTGAAGCTATTCTTTGGCAGAATCGACTCAATTTTTATTTATTATACATGACTTTATATCATATAGCAATAGAAACTAAATTTAATAGGTAGTATAAGTTTTGCTACATGAATATTTTTGTAAAGAAATCTCTTAACAAATAAATTTATATTCGTAAATAAAGCTACCAAGACATGCATTTCATTTAATTCGAAAGTATGTACTTCCCCTTATTGAGGCATTTACCAATACCGATAATATTTATACCCACGACTTATCTATAACAAAATTTTCAATACTTAAATCTATTCTTAGCGTTCAACCTTTGAAAGCTGACACAATGCTTTATACATATCAAAATCAGTTTAGAATCGTGACTATTGTCATTGTAAGTGAATAAAACGTGAACAGAGATATATACAAGAATTCCGTGAGGCTAACGTACATGTTACACTGGTGTGCATTTACAAATATATGCAAAGATATTACAGGGTGACTGATGAATAACTATCGATACTTGAGGACGTGATATTTGACGATCATATATGACAAAATAAAAATTAATATAACATAAATATTAATAAACTTCTAAGTAAAGTTAACCAAAAGTTATATAATTAATTACGCATCGTGTGAACACCCTACAGATTAGGTATACACACACACACACACATACACATGCTGATACAACACCACGCCGCCGCACGCGTCCTCGTATTTATACGGAAATTTGGTCAAAAATTAACTACCTATTTTTTTTACATAATTCGAATGAGAATCATGTACCGAGTATTCTCCTTAAATATTGATAGTAATTCACCAGTCACCCTGTATATGCTAACATCATCGTGATAGAATTCAATTATGACAATTACTTTGTTTTTCTTAATGTTTTTTGTGACCAAATATAATTTATCTCCGAACTCACCTATATATTACTTGTAGAGCGCAAGTTATATCAGAGTCAGTCCAGCCATTCTGGTGACTTAATAGAGTTAAAATAAAAAAAAATTTGGGTTTTCTTTTTACAGTTGCCAAGAAAAAAATATTTTGTAGTATTGTATTAATAATTTTATTATTTCGATTTTAGAGTATTAAATTATGTTGCTTGTAAACAAATTTAAATGCACTTTTTTTGTTTCAATAATCTTTAACAACATTATGACAATTTTTATTTTAATCAAAACCTATAATTGTCATTTTTTTAACGTGTTAAACAACAGTAAAGAATATTTTTTTAAAGGCAGAAGTATAGATACAGATTCTTTTTGGTAACATTTCGTACAATACTGCTGGTACAATACTTGTGTTACGATTGGAGCAGAAACTCGGAATTTCCTTTACTTTATGAAGTTTGAACTTCGAACATATTTATATATTTGAACAAAAATTGGAAAGTCAGTACTTAGGAGCGCCGAGTAAGGTACACGCTAGTTTCAATTTAAGAGTATCTGTGGAAGATATGTTACCTTTTGGTAGTTAAGGATAATTATGAAGAAATAATATGTCATATACAAAAGTAATGTACTGTGAATAACCAAAAATATACAAACGAAAGATTCAATATAACTTTCCAATTTGATCAATAAAAAAAATAGTTAATCTTGTTAGAGAATTTAATCGTAAATATCAGACATCAAATAAAAGCATTACACAAGTTAAGATATAAGAAAAAGAAAGAATTAAACCATTCATGTTAGAATTTGGAACAGTTGATACTAATCCACAATTCTTATACTTCATAACCAGTCAGTATTAAAAAAATTAAGAAACTAAGTACGAAAAAGACATATGCCATAAAAAGATTACAGTTGTATAATATTTTCGTAACACTATAATGTAAGTTACCAACATTTTGAGAGTCGCAATATCAAATAGAATTAAAGAAACAGTAACACGAAATCCAGACCATGATAAAGTGAAACGATGGTAACAAAATAATATTGTAACATTTGAAGCATTCGTAAATCCGACAACCGATTCTAAAACACTTTATTTTCTGTATTCACCTCATGAACATGTTATTCGAACTCTTTTGAAACATGCTAATCATTTTTTTAATTTATAGAACAATGAAATGATTTTTGAATTTTATTAAGTTAGCTTATTTAACATCTAAAATACCTACCGCTGAGAATTAAGTTACCTTCTACCTATATATAGTGCAAAGCGAGAAAAGATAAGAGAATAGATGAAAAAACATAAAAATAATCTACGGAATATAAATATGAAGAGTTATTCAAAATATTGATATAAATATTTTAATTAAATTGACAACACCCTGTATGTTAAAACTTAATTAAAACATAGTTTTTTCGTATCGAATTTAAGTTACGGTGATGTCAAACTGAGACAGATTCTATAGTCTAAAAAAACATTGCCATCTATTCACTTTTAATTAATAAGTTTGTCCAACATTAAACCTAAACAAAACCGAACACAGGACAAATAAAAGCGGAATTCGAATGATTTGAATTAACATAGTTGATCCCGGCTCAGACAAACAAATAGGTGTTCCATGGTGGGCGAACAAACACATATAAAGCCTGATCACTTAAGGCTACGACGCAAAGCGGCCAGCCTCTACATTATTAACACCTCCTCAGTCTGGGACAGCTTAATCTTTAATGATCCCCACGTGACGGTATGAATCAGCCCGGGATGCACTCACGGATGTGAAACACAGCCTGTTACATCGATTTGAGGTAATCGATTTCAAAGTAAAAGAATACACGGCCCTTCAGACTTAAAGTGAATGCGTCGGATTTTGCATACAATACAATGTATTACAAACGATTGTTCCGATACATATTTAGAACATAATATATATTTTTGTATATAAAAAATGAAGTAAATAATTTATAACTAAATTCTTTTTAGAATTTTTGCATCAAAATAATGTCTTCAAGGCGAAGTTTGTGTAATGCGGTAAAGAGATTTTTTTTTACTCATGATGAGTAGGAAAAAAGTAA